CTGAAACGTCAGCTTTCCTGCTCCTCTGATGCTGCTTGGCCTGCTGTGTTCATCCAGCTCTACACCTTGTTATCTTATTCCTAATATTTCTTCAGAGAATACTTCCATGCCAGATGTTTGACCAACTTGACTCACCGTGCCAGTACTATTCTTCCATCCTAGTGACTCTATGTATCTGACATTGCACCAAACTTAAAGATTCCCCTAACATATTTCTTTTGGGCTATTTCATTTGTTGAATTATTGTCTGAAGAAAACCAGGGCATTTCGTTCCAGTCAGCCCCAAATTTTGATTGATCTACTCCAATAAAACTGAACTAAATTAACATCAAGTGTAAATGGTATATCTTGATGTCACCCATATACTGCAGACACCTGTAAAGCAATAGGTCAGTTCCAGGAATATAAACCGCATGCTATCAAATTCTCTGATTAACGGCATGCTACAATCACAGCCTTATGTGTTTTAAACCCTGCAAATTACTGTTTCCGTTAATCGACTTTTCTTTGTGTTCTAGTAGTGGTGAACTCTCTGGTTTATCCAGTGATTTGAGGTTCAGTTAGCTCAGTTGGCTGGGAGGCTGATTAAGTGATGCCAATAGCATGGGTTCAATTACTGCACTGGCTGATATTACCAGGAAGGATTCTGCCTCTCGATCTCTTTCCCGTCACCTGAGGCATGGCAAACCTTAAGTTAAATCATCACCAGTCCCCCACCGCTCCCCCCCCCCGCCTCCCTCCCTCCCTCCCTCCCTCCCTCTCTCCCTCTCTCTCTCTCTCTCTCTCTCTCTGTCTCTGTCTCCCATGAGAAAGCAGCATTATGGTCCTCATGGACAATGGCAACTTTACTTTTTCACAGTCAACAGATACCAAGTGAATTCAGCGGAGGGAAATTAGCCCCATGTCACATTTATGTCACATGTTTTGATCATGATTTCAATTGTTTAGGGGGAAACTGCCTATCCACCTTTTTGGATAATAACAAACTGATTTTTAAAAAAGTAATATATGTGCAATATATATTGTTCTTTTTTTCTTTTCAGCAGAAATTCTTTTTTAGAATGTATGTTTATTCTCTCTCAATAACTTCTGACAGGAAACTAGGTATCGTCAGAGATATTTGGATCTGATTTTAAATGATTATGTGAGACAGAAGTTCATCAACAGGGCCAAAATTGTCACCTATCTACGGACATTTTTAGATAATCTGGGATTTCTGGAGGCAGGTTTTTTTTATATTTTCTTATTTACACTATATGTTTTTGAATAATATATCTTTTGATAACTTTCGGTGAGAGAACAACTCTAGAAATTTTTAAAATTTCCATAACTATATCTGAGATGCTTAGTGATTTTATGCCCTCATCATGTGAATTTAATCTTTCCTACAGGTGGAAACACCCATGATGAATATAATTCCAGGTGGAGCAGTTGCCAAGCCCTTCATTACACACCATAATGAGTTAGACATGGATTTGTATATGCGAATTGCTCCAGAGCTTTACCATAAGGTATGAGCATAGAGAGGTGCATTTTCTCAAAAGAAGGATGCAAATGTATAGAGCACCTTTCATGTTCTTAGGATGTCCCAGAGTACTTCACATAGCCAATTGAATAAATTTGAAATGCAGTCTCAGTTGCACCATCTACAAAGTCTATTTCAGTATCTCACCAAAGGCAAAAACCTGTGCTTCATTTCTGACTATCTTGCCTGTCACATATGCATCTATCCATGACAGTATTCTGTAACAAATATCAAGGTTTGAGACTGAGATAACAAGATGTACAGCTGGATGAACACAGCGTCAGAGGAGCAGGAAAGCTGATGTTTTTTTGAGACTATTGTGTTTTGAGGCTCTATCTTTAAGGTTAATACGGACGCATGATGGAGGTCACATAATTTGTTCTGAATCCTGCTGAAGAGAAGCCAGGGTAACTTGGTTGGTAGAGGGGCCAAGTTATTTTTTACTATTGGAAAAAGGTTTAAGATATTTACATTTCTAATCAATGACCAAAGCAACTTTGCTGCTAGAATGATAGCTTTATAAACAGTCTCCAAATCCCAGACGACCATTTGGATTTCTGAATAGATCTCTCCACAAATGTTGCCAGACCTGCTGAGTTTCTCTGGCCCTTCCTGTTTTTGTTTAGGATTTATAAAAGCTTATGATTTGGATAAGTTGCAAAGAGTGCAAATGCAGAAAGCAAAAGCCATTGGGGAGCAATAGAAAGTGGCAACCAGATTCTAAGATGATGCAGGAAATGTACATTTAGAAAAGTTATTTAGATTTTAATTTTTTTTTAACACAAACTAATGTTTTAAATCCAAGTTGTCCTTGTTCTAACTGAACAAAACGAAGACTGGCTCATGGTGCTGGCCTTCTTTCCCCCGCCTCTCCGCTTCCTAGTAATGGAGGATGGTTACCAGTACCAGCCAGCTCTCTCCCAACCTCAACTCCATCAAAAAAAACTAACAGCTCAGAGCTGGGCATTTTGATGCTCTTCTAAAAATAATCAGGTGTATAAGAGGTCCAGAAGGTTTTTCTTGCACTCGTGACTAATAAAATATTGTGATAAATTAACTGTTCCTTCTAAAGAATTTTTTGTATAGAGCTGAAAATATATGTGGATGTATATACACCATATTAACATGTTACTGCAAAACATGGGAGGAAGAACCTTTTTTACTATTTGGAACCTAAATAGGCTTGAGTTTTGTCACTTTACTATGAAAGAAGTTAGGAGTATGAATATTTCCATGTACATTTTATTGAGAAAGGTAAACAGTATATAGTGAAAAAAATTGACTTCATTTCGATTTTATGAATTTTAAATTTATTTGAAATGAACTTTTTTTTAATTTGTGGATATTGTAAAGGTTAGGATGAATAGGTTTAACTAGTAATGCTTTTGGAAAAAGAATGAAAAAGGATGGACTTGCAAATGTTCAATGAAAATTTGTCAACTGTACTTTAAAGAAAACTCACACGAAACCTTATTTTGCTTCGCTTTTCCCTTGACATACAATTGAGGTGTTCAAGAGACAGTTTGCTGTGAAATAAATTGTCTTCCATACAAATATACAATCTGTGATTGCAATTTGTGGTTTTGAGTTGTAATTTAACACGCAGAAAGGAAAGATAATTTTGGTTGGTTGAATATGTGGAGTCTCCTTTAACCGAAACATATCTTCATTTTTCAGATGTTAGTTGTAGGAGGTCTTGATAGAGTGTATGAAATTGGGCGTCAGTTTAGGAACGAAGGTATTGATCTTAGTCATAATCCAGAATTTACCACATGTGAATTTTACATGGCCTATGCTGATTACAACGATCTAATGAAAATCACAGAAAAACTTCTTTCAGGTTTGTAATGTAATTTCTGTTGTAATTAAATCATAGGAAAATTGTTTTCTGCTAATATGGTAAATTGTTTAATACTATAAATCTTAAAAAGAATGAATGATTCTTCTGGGTGGCATGATCTTAGTTTTGTTCTTATCCAAAAGATGGTGTGTTCTTGCTAGAAAATAGTCCCACATACTCCAGTTTCTTACTTCAGTTGTTTCCAAGTGATAATTATTAATGAGTGAGTCTGAGTGGGCTTTCTAACTTAGGGTGGGGAATGGACATTGAAGTTTAGCTCAACTTTGTTAAATCTGATAGCTACAACCGTACTTTCTAGACCGAAATACTGTGTAATGATCAAGACAGAAGAATAACTGGCTGTATCTTCTCCCCGCCTACACCCTCAAAATAAGTATCAGGGACTCTCAGGCAAACTGCAGATTCTCTAACTGATGTTTGAAAAAAAATAAGCTAACGAGGCACTGAATTCAATCAAACCGTTTCAAAACACTCATATGAATTTTTGTTTTTGCAGGTATGGTAAAGCACATCACGGGCAGTTACAAAATCATATACCATCCTGATGGACCTGATGGTCAAAGTTATGAAATTGACTTTACACCACCATTCAAGCGTGTCAGTTTGACAACAGATCTGGAGAAAATTGTGGGAGTTAAATTTCCACCTGCTGATCAATACGAGACTGAAGGTAAGAATAATATTTGTTTCTGGTATTGTTAATTGAAGAGATAAATAGCAAATTGTGATATGATAGTTGTTGTTCTATCCTGCTTCCCACAGCTTTGCTTTTATTTTTACAATCCAGTTAATCACACGATCCTCTTCCGTCACACCACATCTTATTCAACATGAGATTGCCTTCTTACCTTTCCAGTAGCAGCCAAGGATAATGCTGCTATTCATTCCACATTAAGTATACTGCCTACAAAAGTTTGTTGTAGAATCATTGAAATTACTTAGAATGTGAAGCACAGAGTTAGGACATTCTAACCAAAAAGGTCTTTGCCAGGATGCTTATGTTCCACACAAAACTCCTCACTCGATTCTCCTAAATAAATTAGAATAGTCTTCTTTTCAGAAAAACTTCTTTCAGGTAATTTTGATATAATAAAACAATAGGAAAATTGTTTCCTGTTAATATTGTAAGTTGTTTAATACTGCAAGTCTTAAAAAGAATGATTGCTATCTTCTGGATAACATAATTACCTAGCTTTGTTTTTAAATACATCAATGATGTTTGCCTTAACTACTGCATTTGTGATTTTCTGCATTCATAACTTCTTATGGCTTCTTTCAATTAAATTTCTTCAATATAATTTTTATATTTAATTATTTTAACAGCTTTTTGGTCAGGATAGAATCCTATTATCAAGTTACTTTAAACAACTGCTTTATTGATATGGCTTTATAAGTGCAAACAGAAGGATAGTTTCCACATCCTACTGTTTCACTAATTGTACCCACATGAAAAATATAATCTACAACATAACTACTGGTATAATAAAATTCAAGACAGATTTCTTGGAAATCTGAAAGATGGTGGCAATATGCTACCTGTAGTTGCTGGTTTATTTTTGCATTTTCATTTTAAATAAGGCTGTAACATTTGCAATTCTCCAATCCTTTAGCACCTGTATCAAACAAGGTTTGAAAGATCATTGCAAGTTCCTCACCAAACTTCACATTCACTTCTCAGCATCCTCACTTCCCATCGGTCCTGGTGACTTTCAACTTTGTGTCTTCGGTCAGCTTTTCTACAGTCTGTCCAATATCTCAACAACCAGCTCATTGTTGTGACGTTAATAATATTATCTTCCTTAATAAAGGAAGAAACATACTTGTTTAGTATTTCAGCCATGGACTCTGCTACCACTGTTGGGTTTCCTTTTTAGGCCAAAATTGACTCCGGTAATTCTTTTGTTTCCTTTTTTTACCAACAACTAGCAAAACACTTTAAATTTGACTCTTTCTTTTTCTTTGTTAGAATTCCAAGTCTTAACCCTGCTGTAAGATTAACTTGCTTCGTTTTGTTAAAACAGAGGCCCGTAAATTCTTTGATGATTTATGCATTCAGAAAGGTGTTGAATGTCCACATCCAAGGTCTACAGCCAGGCTTTTGGACAAGGTATGATTTGAAATATATGAAACCCTGGCTAATTTCTGGCTCAGGAACTTGACCCTCAGACCATGCTGGGTCCCAACCCTCGATGCTGTTTTGATAGAGGAAAGACTGTACTGGTTCACTCTACCTGTTATTATGTTTCAAAGATGTTATTTTCTCCCTTTTGTCTGTTAACAAGCTCTTTAATGGACTTACACCTGGTTAATTAGAGGCTTGGAGGTCGCTACCATAGAAGCCCTTTGAAAATTTTAGCAGGTCATGGAGGCTTTGGGATGACTAATAGGTCATCAAGACAATGAGAACCATTTCAAAACCTTGCTCTCACCTGTCAATTGGATATTCGGCCCCCAAGTCATCATGCAGTCGACAGCCTGAAATGACAACATCATCCACAATGGCAGTGCTTTTGTGATTTGTTGATATTTCAATTGCAAGAATGTTAATATTTTGAATGTTGCAGGTGTTTTGTACAATATTTAGATAAATAGTTTTTTTATGTCTTTTTTTTATGCTTTCCATTCTGCTAATGGTTCAGGCACGGGAAGCTGTAATGGTAAATGGCAAAGAATCATTGCTATAGAGACATAAAACAGAATTTTCCCAGCCTCCAAACAACATTGGCAATGGCAAGATATTCGGTTTGGGAAAACACAGCAAAAACAGAAAAATTAGATTTTTACCATTGAGGGGATAAAAGTCAAATTATCCACATAAAGTTTAATGGCTAAATGAGAATCTCGGAGTGAGTTGTGAGGAGCCTATTTGCATGCATGAATATCTCATTATTACCTAATCTCACCTAATTTCTATGCAGGTTTGAGTCTTTCCAGGCAAGTGGATAGAAACTAGATGGTGCCAATTTCTGACATAAAATTCAGAGCTGTTACTGATGGGCCAAAGCTGCAGATATTGGCATCTACTCTGGCATTCATGTTGACTAGCAATTCTCAACATCTGTGGGTTCGGTCCATGGGCAGCGACAGACTCAGCAATTCATCCATGGATGCATCAGCTTCACCACCTTTTCATGGCACTTCTCCAACTCAAATTAAAAATTTCAGCACTTAACTACTACATTTTAGAGTTCACCAAGACCAAGTTCACCAAGTGCCAGGCTGCTCTGCAGTCAGGGACAAGCACCCATCTCATGCATCAAAACAGGGTGCATCTCAGTCCGCTTAGCTTGCTTTCTTAGCAGTCATTCATTTTGCATCTGCCTGGATGCCCCAGCATTTCTGCTTTACTTGTGCTTTTACAAATTACCACTTCATTCAGAATTTACAGACTCTCTGTACTTCTGTTGTGCCTTGCCCTTTAGCATATGACAAAATGGCAGGCAGCACTGAACAAGCAAGGGGCGGATGTGTTGCTGTACTGCACCGAGCAATGTCAGTGTCACACCTGCAGCATGTGGCAACAACTCAAGTGGCAAACACAATACAGCCTAAAAGCCCTACCTGAATGTCTGAGGGTAATAGTCGTCAATTAGGGGGCACCACCATAGTCAGTCAAGGGCATTGTCCAATCTCCGGCCAGGGGCTTGGCTACCGGTCAGTCAGCTGATGCATTCAGGATCGGGGATCATTATAATTTTGGTTTGGGGAGTGGACCAAGGTCAGTCCTGCAGACTGAGTACAGTAAATCCATAAGATGTGTGCCCAGAAGTAGGCCATTCAGCCCATCAAGTCTATGCCACCATTCACTGAGATCATGGCTGCTCTGATAATCCTCGAATGCACTTAACAGATCGTCAAAAGACCTTCTGGTGAAGTATAGTTTTTTTTTAATCACCCTGTTCGGGGTTGTTATGTTTGGAGCAAGTGAGACGTAACCACTGCATCACAAGACCTCTCTCAAATTGGAAGGATGAGAAGCATAGTCTGCAGAGGTTGAACCTGTGCAGAGACACCCCAATGGATTTCAAATCCATCACTTGAACCACTTGGCCACAACTACAGGTCACTAATAAAGGCAGTTTGTTTTAAATTGCCCAGTTCAAACACCTTCCAGAGCAGATCGGGCATGAACCTGTACCTTGTCCCACACTATTGCTGTGCCACAAGACCTGCACACCGTGGTGCCCAAAAGCATTGATGTCTCTCACATATCTCCTACATTCCAAGGGCCGCATGGATGGCTGGTGGAAAACGGTGGTTTCCCTCTCCCAACCCTGGTTGATGACTTTATTACACACATTCCTGATTGAGGACGAGTATATGTACAATGCAATATCTTCTTTCACTGGGTCCATTGAGGACTTTACAATGACTCAAGATGAGGTTCCATTCTTGTGTAGGTCTGGGAATTTGTTGTAGTAGGCTACAGAGTGCACTGATCATCCTTGCATTCTCTAGCTTTAGCTTAAGAAGTATCTAAATCCTTCTTGAAAACATTTGGCCTCAACCGCTTTTGGTGGCAGACAATTCCACAGGTTCACCACTGTCTGACTGAAGAAGTTTCTCCTCATCTCAGACCCCCTGTCCTTAAATTGTGACCCCTGGTTGTAGACAACCAGGTCATTGGAAACATCCTTTCTGTATTTAACCTGAATTTTAAAGGTTTCTACAAGGATTTATCCTCTTGTCTCCATTCTTCTAAACTCAAGCGAATTTAGTCCTAACTGATCCTGTCTCTCTTCATACGTTAGCCCTGCCATGCCAGGAATCAGACTGCTAAATTAATTGCACTCTCTTCATACCCAGAACATCCGTCTCTGATAAGGAGACCATAACTGCTCACAGTACTCCAGGTATGGTGTGACTCCATTATAACTTCCCCTGTTTCTGTACAATTGCAGCAAGACATCCCTGAGCTTGTGCCCAAGTCCTCTCACTAAGGAAGCTAGTGTAACATTTACTGTCTTCACTGCCTACTGTGCTTGCATGCTTACTTTCAGCAAGAAGCGTACAGGGACATCCAAGTTTCATTGCACCTCCTCTTTCCCAATCTGTTGCCATTTAGATAATAATCAGTCTTTTTGTTTTGGGTACAAAGTGGATCACCTCTCATTTATCCACATCATTGTACTTCATCTGCCATACATTTCCTTGCTTGCTCAACTTGTCTAAATCACACTGAAGCATTTCTGATCCTCCTCACAGTTCACCCTTCCACCCAGCCTACAAACTTGGAGATATTACTTTTAGTTTCCTGACCTAAATTATCATTTTATGAACAGCTGGAGTCTAAGCAGTACCCCAGTAACAACTGGCTGCCACTGGGAAAAAGACCCGTTCATTCCTACTCTTTGTTTTCTGCCTGCCAACCAGTTCTCTATCTATGTCTGTACTCTACCCCCAATCCCATGTGCTTTAATTTTACATGCTAATCTCTAATGTGGGACATTGTTGAAAGACTTCTGAAAGTCCAAGTAAACCACATCTGGTGGCTCCCCTTTATCAACTTTACAGGTTATGTCCTTAAAAAAATTCCAGTAGATTTGACAACCATGACTTCTCTTTTGTAAATCCACAATGCAAAAATAGAACCATTTCTGAAAATCATCTTTCCCCTAATTTGAAATTCCCTGAAATATGTAATACTGCATGAGCTGGCTTGCCAATACCTCCATGGACATTTGGTTTAATGACTTTGTGACCTTTTGCAGCTTTTCCAGTGTTACGAGGGATTGCTATAATGGTGGTTGATCACCAAAAAGCTAGCCATAATTTTTGGATTTGCCAACTGGTTTTACAGTCAGGTGCTCTTCCTTGCGGCTAACCTTCCCATTTATGTGGGGCTGGGAAGAGGCTTACAGCATATTAAATAACAAATTCAGTTTCAACAATTAATTGGTATCCTTTTGTTTCAGTTGGTCAGTGAATTCCTGGAGGTTACTTGTATTAATCCAACATTCATCTGCGATCACCCTCAGATCATGAGCCCACTGGCCAAATGGTAAGGTTTAACAAGATCAGACATAACACAACTTTTGTGTTTCAGCAGTGTTCAGCACTCATCAATGTTTGGAAGTGGGGACAAGAGACAAAACACCACTAGTCTGTGGTAATGGCTTTGCCTTACAGCCTCCCAACATGCCACTTATTTCTAAACACATGCAGCTGTGATATGGTAATTTATTTGTCTTGGTGTGTCTAGGCCTTGAGGTTTAAGTCACAAGTATAATAGTATGGCATAAAAAGTTTATTTTAATAGTATTAAGTACTGGGAAAGATGACCAAGTACTGTACTCATAATGTTGTCTTTCCATGAGTGTGAGTTTTCAGTTCCTAGACTGCCTGTGACCTGATCTCCCCAGACATAGTCATTCACAGTATTTTGCTTTTGCCTCCTCTTTGGCATTTCCAATTAAATTGAACGTACAAACAGGGAACAAGAGTAGACCACTTGCACCTTTTGAGTCTATTGTACCACCCAATAACATTATGGTTGATGAGATAGTAGGAACTGCAGATGCTGGAGAATCTGAGAAAACAAGGTGTAGAGCTGGATGAACACAGCAGGCCAAGCAGCATCAGAGGTGCAGGAAAGCTGACGTTTCGGGCCGAGACCCTTCTTCAGAAATGGGGGAGGGGAAGAGGGTTCTGAAATAAATAGGGAGAGAGGGGGAGGCGGATAGAAGATGGATAAAGGAGAAGATAGGTGGACAGGAGACAGACAGGTCAAAGAGGCGGGGATGGAGCCAGTAAAGGTGAGTGTAGTTAGGGAGGGGATAAGTCAGTCCAGGGAGGACGGACAGGTCAAGGGGGCAGGGTGAGGCTAGTAGGTAGGAGAT